TTCTTTACTAGTAGCTCAGTTATTTCAGCACTCTGTTCCTTGGACATGGATTTCATGTGGGAATGGCTGATGCAAATCCAGTCTCTTTACAGTTGTGAGGTCAAGTGCAATTTTTACTAAATCATCCTTGATTTCTCTAAGATGGAAACAGTCTTTTCTACTGCTGGTCCAAAGCCAACAGGGACAGCAGCTTCTGCTTTATCTGAGTAAATTAGTGATGCCATGTGATGTTGTTAGATACTAAACCACTTTGACTTACTAAAACATGAGTTTTAAAACTTGTCAGTGAGATGCAGCTGTGTTTGGGGTGGTGTGTGACATCTGTTCAGCAGTCTGAAATAGCACTGTATCTGAGTCCAGGAGGGAGAGAGAATGCAGCTGGTATTAAAGGACAGATGTACTGAGCCTGTTTTGTGCCTCTCACAGCATCTTGTGATGCACGGGAGGCATATTGTGAGAATTACAGCACGTGCTGCAGGTTTGCATCTTAGAAACGCCACTCTTGGCAAAGATGATGGAAAAAGCCATCTCTCCAGGGGAAAGGGAGCCAAGAATAGGGGCACTGAACAGCCACAAGCTGGGTAGGGAGCAGACAGTGTTTCCTGTAAGCTGCAAACCATTTGCATGAGTCACCTATATGGCTGCACAGCAAATGCACAGGAAGGCTGAGGAAAATGGAGGAAAAAAGCTGTCAGCTTCAGACTGCCTGAAGAATCAGTGAGGACCAACAGCAATGTTATGGCTTAATGCTGTCCTTCCCACAGGTCTCTGCAGCATTCCCATTACCTCAGAAGGTGCTTTTGTGCCTTTCCTCCTGCCACTCAAACCATCCTCAGAAGGGAGCTCTCAACAATAAGTGCTCTGGGCCAATTCACAGGTTGGAGTTTGGCTGTTTTTTTCCCCTCTACGTTTATCACACAGCTCTTTTCTGTGCCTGTTTAGGCTTGGAAGCAGAGCTTGTCCCCTCTTCCTTCTAATAATAAAGCCATGGTGATTAATCAGCTGTTCTTTGTGGGAAGACAGCTCTGATGTAACCTGTGTATTCAAACCCACAGATTTGGTGCCTCTCAATTCCTCTCAATTTGCTTTATGCATCTTGGCTGTTCTCTGCTGGTGTATCTCTGCTCTGTATCTCTTTCCAAGCCCTAAAGCTTTGCCAGGTGTGGCTTTGGCAGGACAGTCAGTGTGGGACCATTGGTAGAAAGCTGCATGTTGGACAAGCCTTGCTTTTTCTCTAGTTTTGCATACAGGAGCTTCGTAGCACTGACATGATGTGATACCCCTGAAGGTGAACTGAACTGGCAGGAATATCCTGCTCACAGTGCAGAACACCTCTGCATGGGAACGCCCATGTGACGGAGGCCAGGCAGGGCTCTGTGCTTACAGGCACAAGAACCGCCCAGGGCTGCCCTGCTCTGCCCTGCCTGGTGTAGGCTGGCAGGGATGAGACCTGGAACATGTTAGCAAGCAAAATACCACCTCCCTGACGATCTGGGAAATCCCTGTGTGCTGTTTGATTCCCAGCAGAGGGCTAGAGAGCAAGACGGAAGGTTAGGAGCCATAGA